GTCATCGGTGTAACTATATATATATAACTAGCTTTCTAAAAGTGTAGTGTGTAGAGTGTGTGTGTGTGTGTCGGAGAGTAGGAGGGTGAAATTCGGTAGTTTGGTAAAACGGAAACCTTGATTTAGGTGAAATTAGTTCTGTTTTCTAGCGGACAAACTCTGAATTCCACTTTGTTATTCACGATGGATTTGCTATTTGAACCTTAATGATTTCTTTCACTTAATACGGGTTCCTCCTCAAAAGCTACGTATAAGAGGAGAAGTGTTTAGAAATTTGCTCAGAAAAATCGAAATATACCTTAAATAATCTTATCAATAGGTACTTGTATTTCATTTCTGTAGTCAAAAACAGGAATAAGCATGACTATATTTAATTTTTACTTCATCTTTGGGCTTTGTTTTCCTTATTATTATACTGAAAATATATTTTGGCACAAATTATGGAAAATAATTCTGTCCCTCTGGGTGCATCATCCGTGAAATCTTACTGTAAAATCCTTTTAAATTTAATATTTTCTAGCGTAATTTTTACAGTAATATTTATTTAATTACAGTCGTTTCGTGATTTTACTGTAAATGTTACTGTATAAAAATTACGGTATATCAGATGTATAATTTCGTGAAATTGTACGCTAAGAATGGATTTTACAGTAAAATGTACTATCACGCTGAGTGCCAGGATTTTTTTTTTATCGTGATTTGATCCGAGATTTTTTACAGTGTACTTTTAAATCATATTATTAACTGTCATTGGTTTAACGTTCCAGTAATACGTGATTTAAAACTAGTTTCAATGAAGTTTGCAAGAAATCACATTTGTGTTTTTAGTAAGGCTTTGCTTGTTTTAAAGTTTCATACTATCGTAAACCCGAAATAGTTTTCTTCGAGTTAATATTCATTTTAAATTGAGTGCTATATTTATTCAAAATAAGTTGCACAGTATTTTCTTGAAATAGTATCACACATAAATAATTTTGAATAAAAATTTTTTGGGCCGGGATAGCCTGGATGGCAGGGCGATGGACTCCAGTTCGTGAGAACGGGAATCAACCGAAGACTCCTCTTGTAGTTGATGGGAACCGGTGCACGTTGAGATTGTCGGCTCACAAAGTCATCCATGTTCTCATAACAAATTATACCTCTGGGAGTACTGAATTAGAGATTAATCGTTCTCTGATTCAGGTCAAATTTGATGTCTGTGGATGAATGAAAGAATGCATGAATGGATTTACCCCATATACGGATGTGACGCATGGGTTTGCTAGAAATCGAATTCTTGACCATAGATGGCACCACTGAAAAAAAAGAACAATCGCACCCCTTGGCTTAATGACCTATGACAGCAACAACAATAAAAAAATTTCCTATCACATTCTTGCTTTATTAACACTGAAGTTTTCACTTTATTTTTCAAAAAGTAAGAAAACCGGCAAAATATTTCAAATGTTTCATTTTCATTGTTCTTAATCTCATCTTCCTGCGCATTAAACACTTACCTTTTAGTAGTTCAACATACTACCATGCCAAAAATCTGCTCTTCGAAAGAGGTCTATGAGCAAATTGTTTAAAGAAATATTCAATCTACAAATAAGTGAAATTTTATTTCTCTGTACTTAACTGTTTTGCACATTTTAATTAAATTTTGCTTTATTTATGACTAGAAAATAGGATAAAAACTACTTCAAAATAATGCTTATCTAATTTGCCTAAATATTTTGGATTGTAACGTTTTATTACGGTCACATTGATGGTAACGCTTTATTACAGTCAAGTTAAAATTCTAAGCATATTGTCTTTAAGGATTCATGTATTACGCAAAAAAATATTTTTCGCTGCATGCGTATAGATAAATAAATCGAAAATCGAAAATAATCGAAAATTATTAATAAATTTAATAAATAGTAACAGAGATAATAATGATTTATATCGTATTGTTACCACTCGTAATGGGTTGATATTAATTAAATATTAATTAATTTAATGGTCGATATTAATTAATTTAAATGTTATTTTTCTGCTTTTTGAAATGTATTAACTTTTTGACCCAGATTTTTATTGAACATACATCCATACTTTTTTCATTATATAATATATTAAGTTAAAAAATATTGTATTTAGCATTTTAATAATTTATGGTTTGTAAATACCGTATGAAACACTGGTGTCTTTGAGTGCGTTGAAGGTAAAACCTTCCGCACAAGGCTCACTTTCAAATAATAATCGTCCAAATTTTGAAATTAGAGATAGTTATTTAAATTTAATTTAAGAAAATCTGCTATTTATCATTGAAATTTCTTTAATTTGCAAAAATTATTATTGGTAAATTTTTAATTCTTGTTTTAATTTTAGATTAATTTTATTAATTATTAGACTGTTTTTTTTATAATTAAAAGATACCAAAATATATTTTTGCTTGAAACTAGAGCATCATAAACAATATAAATAAAAGGGACATCAGTATTCCATCTGCCTCAAAATGTTATTGGCATTATATTACATGCATTTCATACCGCAATATATTTCATTAGAGAGGATTAAGGCTTTTGAAGGACAGCAATACTTCTCATTAGCTAATTTTGATTGATATATGGAGCATTGATGGTATTGTAAAATACATTATAGGTTTTATAATGTTGGATGAAACTATTATAAAAGAGACGATACTACTATTCAGTTCTACTAAGTATTTAAATTCTGTTTAAAGACAAATTTACGTTGATAATTCGTTAAAAAAATTGAAATAAAGAAAATTATTTTTATTAAAAACATTTTATGTAAAAAATGTTTAACTCATCAAAAAATAAAACTTTAATACTAACATTTACTCATGCAATATCTCAACACTTTCCTAAACTTCAGTAAAATATAATTTTAAAAAAATGTATAAATATTTTCATTATCAAATAAATTTTTCTAAACATTGAAACTGTGCAAAATTCAGACATCATTTCTATCTCACTAAACACAAAATATGCTATTTTTTACAATATTTCTAAATGATATAGTTAAGAGTAGTATAGTAGGAAAATATAAATGAATGCTTTGCCAGTAAAAGTGTACTTTATAATCTGAACTCTAAAATATTTTCTATATATTTAAAAACTGACTGATTTATGGAGATGTTTCTTTAAGTTTCAGAAAGAAATGCAGCAGCTCATATTGCAAGTGTGAATGGCTCTTTTAAATTTGCCTTCTTTCTTATACTGGTTGTTTTCCTTTGACGAATATAAATGTGGGGAATAAAGAACCAATATTTCTTGAGAAACTGCATGACGCATTTGTGTTTTCTGCTTTGCCAAACTCCGAGTAAAGTTATACTTTTCGTCATCGGTGTAACTTTTCCAAAAAAAAAAAAAAAAAAAAAAAACGTCAGCAAGCGGAAGAAAAAAAAATCGATATCCTGTTTAGGAAACGTCGATGGAGGATTGAAAATGTGAACTTCTGAAGTTCGGGAAGCAAGGACCAAAAAATGCACTCTTCAAATTTAAGCACCGTGATACGAAAGTTTGGAGACATTATTTGAAGATAGATATGTGATGACAGATGTCAAACAGTTTTTTTTTAATAAAGAAATGTGTACAGTGTTTATCATTATGATGTCAATGACTGTAAGATTGAAGCATTATTACGCGATCAATAATCATTGAACTAAATTTGCAGCAATAAAGCTCATGTATTTATTTTTTAATAGGTAGTATATTTTAATTGCTTATCATATGAATTACAATCCACTACATTGTTTTTCAAATTCAATCTATACATTCATGAAATGACCTTCGGAATCTTAAAATTGTATTGATCGTATTAATGCTCACAGTCTTAATATTTTTGGAAACTCTTCAAATTTACGCTCGTGATACGAAAGTTTGGAAACTTTATTTGAAGATAGATATATGATGACAGATGTCAAACAGTTTTTTTTAATAAAAAAGTGAGTGCAGTGTTTATTATTATGATGAAAATGACTGTAAGAATGAAGCATTATTATGCAATCAAAAATCAATGAACTACATCTGCAGCAATAATTATAATTTATTCATTGGTTTTCAATCGGTAGTTTATTTTGCATATTTTTAATTGCTGATCAATTGAATTAAAATTCACTAAAAAATTCCTTTTCAAATACAATCATTCCATACTTAGATTCAACAATTAATATTTCCAGTTTTAAAGATTGTAATGATTGTATTTCTCACAGTCTTAATATTTTTGGGAAATATTACAATTCATTTAGTTTATTTGCACTGCTTCTATCAATATCGTTATCAAGTCATTTTTATCAGCATTAAACAAATAAATGATATTTTTAAGAATATAAAATCATTTTCACTTAACATAAAATTCGAAGAAATTGAACGTATGTTCAATGTTGAACAAATTCCCATTTTTGATCAATAAAAAAATACGTTAATAATTTATTCAAGAACGAATTTAATTTAAAAATTAGTTACAAAAAATGCTTGAAAAAGCTTAATTAAATGGCATCTTTGTTTTTTACATAAAAAACTTATAAATAGTTAGCATATTTTTTTCTAAACTTCAGAAAAAATAGGTCTCGTAATTTTATTGAATTTCTGAAATATTTTAAAAAGTAAAATATATTTTGTCTTTAAGGGAAAAGACAGCATATCTGGCAATAAAAATGTCATGTTTAATGACGAAATACCACGCATTTAAACAATATAATAAATACTTATAAAATTTCGGTGTACATTTAATGTAAAAATGTATAATTTTTGTAACAATAATTGAAGTATGTCTTTGAAAGATTCGTTAAAATTTTATGTATCTTAAACCATTTATCATTTAATGATTTTGCAAATTTTTTTCTTTATCAAATGTAAAATTTAAAAAATTTGTTATATTAAAGATATAGCTGATGTGATTATATTTTATGTCAGAAATTTTATTTTTATGTATGCAGCTTAAACATTTGTAAAAAGAAAATTAGTATAGTGTGAGAGACCCTGACGTCATAAAATTAAATTTATTTGTTTTGAAATTTGTTTTTGTAATGAATAAAACATAATATATACCCTGTATGAATATCGTAAAGTTTCTTAATATTTAAATATAAAAGTGAGTAAGAAAAAAGGGTAATTGGGAATATTAATGTAATTGAAATATAAATATGCACTTAAAAATTTCAAATAAGTTTTTAATTAGCATTGTGACTAAACATTAATGATAAAAATTACTATAACTATTTTTTAATAAATAATGCATTCAATTTAAATAATTTTATATTTTAATTGACATTAATTTTAATTAAGTATCAAATATTTGATTTGAGCATTGCTGATCTGCTTATGAAAAATGCATAAAACAGATATAACTACTCACTCATACATTTCTTAAATCACGTTTTATAAGAATTATTTATAGTTTTAATATTTACTGTAAATATATAAAACGCATGCTATAAATGTAATTAAAATAAAGGGAGATTAAATAAAAGGGTTTTGTAATACATGTTTAATTTCCTTACTTTTCATATATTATAGAATAACTTCATCTTGTTTTTCTTTAATATTTCAGAGAAAGTAATTAAATGCTTTAGTAATAATTTCTTCTTCGAAATCATTCTTTCGGTTAAATCAACAAACTTAAATTTGCAATGTGATAATGGAAAATGTAAATATTGTTATGAAACTGCATCACTACAATGTTAAACAGAGATAACGTTGAGACTGCTTAATTTATTATTCTGTACAAAGAAATTGTTAACATTTATAGTCAAGTAGTATGTACTTTATTTGGTTAATATGTCTATCCATATTATTATCTGCATCAGATAATTCGTTATTGTACATTTCAATTTTTAAATAAAAATAAATTAAACCAAACAAGGTTTTTGTGTTATTGCAATGATATTCAATGCACAAGGGTACCTGAAAGTCGAAGAAATTTGATACGAAAAAGAAATACATCAAACGCAATTTATGAATTTTAAAAAAAATCGAAACTACCTACAAAATCGTGAAATCTTTACTTGAAATAAAAATAAGTTAAATCAAGTGTGACTTCTTTGTTTATTGTGCCAAACTCTATTAATCATAAAATGAAAAGAAAGAAAAAAAAACAAATGACAAATGACAATGAAAGAGATTCAATGAGTTAATATATGGATGAATTAATTTTTATACCTAATGCATGTTTACATCATTTGACAACCTATTTCTTTAAATTAACGCCCAACAACGTTTTGAGACTATTAAAAAAATTTTTATCTTTATGATAGTAAAAGTATTCACATATTATGAATGTAGAGTGGGATTTTCCTTTCATATTTTTTTTTTAAATTTAGAAGCTTATTAAAAATTTCAAAATAAAGGTATAAAAAGCTCCAGCACAATATTGCGGATCTTGTGATTACCTATTGTGTCATATTTTTCTTTAATTTGATCGAAAATAAAAATTTCCTATAATCATTTTGACATGAAAAAATAATATACAATATTCACATTTAATTTAATTTTAATAATTTATTTATATTTTTATTTATTTCCTTATATAATTTAATTTATTTATCTATTTTTATTTATTTCTCTCTCCATTCTCATGTCTTTATCAATTTGTTTATTTATTTTGACAGCACCATCCAATCAGCTATTCTACTTTACGTTTGCTTGATACAAAATTCTTCACTCTTAAGTAGTTTAAATAAACTTTCCTTTATGTATTTTACGCAGAAATAGTTTCCACCACAGTTGGGTTTTTTTTTAGTTTATAAAATAAAAAGTATTATCTCTGAGCTTAAGGCTGTTTACTTGCCTTAAACTTTACATTAGTTTTTGGTTCATCTTACATTGTGAGGAAACCATTCGTAATCCTCTCATATTGAACAATTCCAAATCATTTTTTGTTTATAACTAAGAAATAATTGCTTATTCATAATAATTTACGAAATTGATACTAAGGGACATTTTAGCGAGTTAAAGAATACCAGCTTAAAGAAGAAGAATATAGAATTTATCTGAAAAAATATTTTTTAAATTAAAAAATGCCTTTTTAAGAAGGAGTAGATAAAAAAAATGAAAATTAAAACAGTAAAAAAGTAAAAAGCTGACTATTAAGAGTACATAAACTCTAAACGTATCGAAATACTTCAAAATACATACACCAAAGTACGAATGCTTTCAGAATATCAACTAGTTCTAAAAAGTAATATTTTATGTTGCACATTGAGGGAAAATGGCCTGTTATATTGACGGCTCCAAGACAACTATCTAAAACGTAATCATCAATGTCAATTGTGTTATTTGTTTGAAACTGCTTACGGAGGGGTATTATTGTTTTCAGTTCTTTGGTACTCTAAAAAGTTACCTTTACCTAAAAATTACCTAAAAGTAACTCAACTTTTAATAAGGTTAATTTTTCCTAATAATTTGCCTTATAAGGATTTACTGTTATCTGATTTGAGACTATATTTCTAAAAGCAATCAAAACTGTATCATTAATGTATCTGTCCGCTGTGTTGCTTAAATTTTTTTTGACTATTTCTAAATTTTTTTGACTATTTTTTGACTATTCTTTCCATTACATACGCTTGTTAGCGCATTTGAAAAGCGTTACAGTCTCAAAGCAATACAAACAATATCTTTACTACATCGTACAACTGTGTTGGTTAAAATATTTTTTAGCTATTTTTAAGATATACATTATATTACGTTATCCAGTTCATTTAAAAAATTTATTTCCTCAAAAAAAATAAAATCATATCTCTTTACTCCATTGATCCCACTGTATTAGTTAAAATATTTTTAGCCATTTGTAATACATTGCGTTAACTAGTACATTTAAAAAGTCAACATTCTTAAAAACAATTAAAATCATACTTTTACTGTATCATCCCGCTGTGTTTGTTAAAACATTTTGTAGCCATATATAAAATTTGCATTACATTATGTTAGCTAGCGCATTTAAAACGATATTCAAAAATTTCGGTGAAGATACATAGAGTTTTGTAAAGTTTGTATTTAAATTCAGACTCATTTCTTGAAAAGGATACATTCTATCAAGAAAATCACAGAAAGAATCAGCCTATTTCATAAATCTATTTATTTACTTAAACCCATCATTTGAACACACGCATTTACAAATGCCAAAATGATTCAAAATTCATGAAGAACGAATGCATAATTTATTTCAGAAATACCGTTTTGCAACTACCCTTAAATACAAAAAAACACAAATGAAACTCACGCACAATTGTGTAATCTTCCATTACAAATCCATTTCATCTGTTTAATTCTAAAATAATTGTTTTCAACCGTGATGCAATATTAAACAGAGAGTCAGACGAAACATTTGATTAGCAACAGATTTTACGTAGTTTAGAAATGGCAACAAACAGAAAAGTTCGAAATCGCTTTGTAACATCGAAGTCCGTAGAAACTTTTCTACGGTTATTTAAAGATTCCCCCGGATAGTAGTTTGGGGAACAAAGAAATATTCCTAATTATTATTCATGTCTAGGCATGAATTATTCATTGAGGAGGAGTTGAAAGTATTTGAAAGATGCATTTTATGCAGTCACTTCCAATATTTTGGGAAGTGATTATTGATTTTATTCATGGTTTTATA